GCTTTGAAAAGGAATAAGTAGATTCCATCTAGTGCTGTGCATATTCACAGATCCACTCTTGCCTAGAATAGCCCGACTAAGGTTTAAGAGCACACTAAAAAATTATTAGGGACTCTCAATTCATCATTGGGTCAGGCTTACACAACCACATCAAAATTACCTGATTTCCGAGTTTAGATATTCCGCGTTTTACACAAATCTGTCTTATTCACATTTCGCATTTGCATGCTAATCATCCCAAATGCACTTGCAACTTTCCTTACCCAAATTTTTGTTGCTTCTTCTCTAAACGAAGTGCTACGATTTCACATTTTGTGAATAGTTGGTGGTGCCTCCTCTGCGATCAAGTTTATCTCCCTAAACATCCTCATTGACATCTGAATGAGATGACTGCTGACGCATGCACTTGAGATGCCTGGCTCTGTTCAGCCAATCAAAACGCGTCTCTTCTGGTACCTACGCCTACCTTTCATCTGCTCATGGGTGGCTCCACTCCATTTGGGTGTGACGGTGGCGCCATGGAAAAAAGCAAAGTACTTGTGGTGTGAGAATGAATTCTATCACCTCCTGCCTCCAAGTCACATTCTCCTCGCTGTCTTCGGCGGCATCATTACAGCTCTTGTTACCACGCTCCACGTTGTGTCAATCACATAGGACATGATAGCGAGGAGTCGAATTACACTGTCGGGTGTTTGATTCTTTCCAGTAGTGCTATCACCTGAAACCGACTTGGTACTCGCCATTGCTCAACAGCCCTTGAGGCAGTGCTGAGAAGTGCACAGCAGAACCTAGTGTCCCAATTCTACTACTGGTCAACTGACTTGAATAAAGATTACTTCCAGTAGCTTGCGCAGCTACCAGCGGTACATGATATAGCATTTCAATTACTGTGGTTATGATGGTGTGTGTGTTAGGCGTACAGTAATGGGTGAGCGTTCGTGGTGTAGACCTCACAACTCGCATTCATCCAGAAGCGCAGTGGGTCTAGTATGATTAAATTTGCCCTTGACAAGGGGGAACGTGTGTCCACTTCTCAGTTGTGAGGTTAATTTCCTTATTAGAATTATTGCAGTTGTCCGCCACTTCTCCCACCCATGCCTTTACCGACTAACTCACACCGTTCTCGCTTCTTGCTTCATCCGATTAGGTGGGAACAAACATTCTTGCATCCAGCATAATCCCACTACATAGCTTTGCAGCTTCGTGTTTCGTGGGGTGGAATGAGGGAAAGGGGTTTAATCTGCACTCCTTAACATGCAGATTGCTGGTAGCTACATACGCATTTGGCAATAAATTATTAAAAGCTAGCCTCATTATACAGCTTTGGACATCTTGAACGATAAAACGTATTTCAACTTAAGCTTTAGTGAGCATTTTGAGTAATGCGACATACGAGATAAGAAATAATATAGGAATTTACTAAAGATTTAGTACTATCAGCGAAGAAGAGGCGAATACCCACACCACTCAGATGGTCATCATTATTATGATTATCATTATGACTCCTGTTTGGGGAATATGGGGATGGCGTTACAATTCACTAACGTATGCCTTAGAAC